TAAACTTCTGGATTTAGTAGACAAATACAATTCGATAGCACTACGAAATATTAACTAATCGTAAGTTAACATTTCTATTTTGAGCATAACACAATATTGAAATATTAAAAGTTACAGTCATTTGCTTTATAGTAAATTTAAATTTTTCAATACTTTTACAATAAACAAATATGATGTAACCACTCACATATGTTTATGTATATGTTCAAAATGGTACCATAAGGTGGCGTATTATGCGGGAAATTGTATTACGGATCTTAACAGGGTATATATATAATATATATGTACATAAATTTATTTTACATATTCACGTATTTAATTTTGTACTCATCTGTAATTTTGCAGGCATATTATCTTACTAATATTTGCTTCTCGTTTCATATTATTTGATATTATACAATGTGTAGGTTTGTAATTCGAAAATATAACAAAGATTACATTAATTATAATGTACTTTAATAAATATGTCTGGATTTGATGATTAACAACTAATTATTTATTCATAGTAAAGCTAATCTGTTGTATACTCCGACACAAATCACAAAATATATAGTATATTTGTTATATATTACAAAATCATGTTTAGTTACATGAGTACTACTTTGATATAATAAAATAATTCAATGCTTATACTGCAGCTGCATTGGATATATTGATAATATAATTCAAATTTTTAAATCTTTATATATCTATAAAGACTTGTTTCAATTAAATATTATTTTTCTCGGACCTACAATTTGGGTTAACTGGTTATATTTGCATATTTATTTTATAATTAATTGTTATATATTTGAAAATTAGTTGATGACATTTTCGCATTTATAAATTATATTACGTAGTAGGCGTGGATCAATTTATTTTAACGTACTTTATAAATAAAGCTCTGCAAGTTAATTTAACTCACAACTTTAAAAAGTTCATTTGAATGCGTTTTCAAAGAAAATTTATAACTAAAATATACTAATAGTGCATTATGCTGGAATTGCAATACTGAAACTTTTATTATCAAAGTAATTAAATACTGTAAATTCAAGTTATTTCAAAGATTTACAAGTTTTTGTGTAAATGAGTTTATTTAAGTTGTTCACTATACATTTCGAAACAGTTTAAAGTTTTTTTGACTTGATATGTAATCAGGCAGTCCTAAAAATTTTTGTTCAATAATATGCTTCTTATAATAAACTTTATCAGGATACAGAAAGTTTAGTAAAAGGTTCATTTACAAATCATTTAAAAAATATTTTATAAAGTACTATTGTGATAATTGTGTTTGATGAGATGCACTAGAGAGAAGATAATTATTTACATAGTGCAACACGCCAAAATGTAATATTTCTGATAGCTATACGGTTAATCGATTTTTCTACAGACTTTGTTTTGCATACAAAGTCTCTATATATAAACCCACTATATGTCAACTAAAAATATGATATGAAAACCGATTGGTACTATAAAATCCATACTTAAGTGTTATTATCTAAACTGTCTTTCTACATGCCTGGATTAAAGTCAGTGCAATTTAATATCCTTTCAAGTGGCATTTTGAGAACAAATATATAAGCTATAAGCTACAGTTTGCGATATAGCAATATAAAATTTATATTATAAAATTCTAAATAAAATTCAACAATCTATGAGTATTTATACACATTGAGCTGGATAAAGGGAAAAAATACATGTAATGCAAAAAGTATTATTAGAAAATAGAGCATATAAACTAAGAAATTACTTCGACCTGAAAAATACTTCATATAATTCAGTTTTCAAAAAAATTAGCATATTTACTCTCTGCAAATTATTTTAGGTATTATAAGTCTCTGATATATGAACATGAAACAATATTTGATAAAAATTTGTTTTCATTAAACGGCAATTTGTAATTGATGAATGCACACATAATATTATCTAAAGTTAAAAAAAAATTCAATTTTATATGCCTTTCTATTATAGTAACAAGGTGTATGTTTAGTGTCGTTTTTTCCTTCCGGCACGTGTAAAATGTAAAGTAAGGCTTTTTCCCACTTTAAAACTTTTTATTTACAAGAGTTATAAAAAACTAACTTTAACTAACAAGGAAAACTATAAAGTTTATTGATTTACATGTAAACTTTTAAATATTTAAATGTTTTTTAAACGATTACTATACGTAATATTTTTTTTCTATAAATATTTATATTAATTAACAAAATTTTAAAAAGATACTGTTATAAATATTTATTCAATATGATTGTTTGCATTTTATACTATATGCAATGATTAGCTTGAATATTCAATATTAGGATTACTGTATAAGTAATAAATTTTAAACAAAAGACGATGAAATAACCAAATAATTATTTATGAGATACTTTTGCAATAACTGTTAAATTTACTTTCATTATTAACCTAAAATATATTTTTAAATGTCGTTATTCAGTACGTGCCTGCATTATTCTTATCAGTTTCCATATTTATTAGTTTTTTGTCAGTAAAAATCTTCCCGCAAAATTGAAAATTCTTATTTTATGATCATAATTTAAATAAAAATTATCTTGATGCAAACGAATCTCTATTAGATTTATTACTAGATAAATGTTGTATTATATATATTGCATATTTTGATTTGGATATTTGTAGGATTTTATTTTGGTGGCAAATGAAAGAGGGGTACCTTTCTTACAATAATAAAAAGAAAATGTTATTATTAACTACAGTACAAATCCCAATAAAGTAAATTAATGGTGTTTACTAAATATATAGTATTAAATCAGTTGCATGAAAATTTTACTAAAATTAACTTGTTTGCCTTAAATCATCACAAATATCAACTTATTGAAGTAAAAACTATCGCATTTATATATACCTACTATGTTACAAAAAAAACATAATTTTGGTCAAACAATTTGGTCACCAGTAGCGTTCTCTAGATATTTTTTGAATAAATTAGTTTGTTGATAAAATTTCTTTACTTTTACATTTAGTGTCAGTCATCTCTATTAGTATTTGTAGTATGTTCGTTTGCTTGTTAGTAGAGTTTTTTTTTATTTATTTTTTTAAATTTTATTTAGTACAGTTTGCTAACACTTTAATCAATTGTTTTAATACAAATTTCAAGTGCATAATATTAATTGAAATAATTTAAAATGTCACCGTGTTATTTTTTGGCATGGGTGTTAATTTTAGAATTTTACATCAGGGATTAAAACATGCTTTAGTGCACTGGCTAATAATTAACTGTGATCCACCTTTTTAATAAATTTTCACTACTCAATTGTAAAACTACTATGCTTTTGTTGACCATGCGATTAATTAACAATTATCTTGAACTTATTTCAGGATTACCCTGTGTTTATAGTTCCTATATCAACATGTAAAATATTATACTGGCACTATAAATATCCCAGACACGGAAAGTGGAAAACTCCAAAATTTCAAGGGAATATATACGCAAACTTTGAGCAAATTAAAACTCCTACATTTTGCGGTTTGTTTGAGAGAATATTATATTCAGCGAGATCCTCTTGTTTAATTAAAGTTTCTATTGGGTCCTTTCATGTTTTTGTAATTTTCGGATTAGACTTGTCAAGAATAATAAATGGTATTAACGTCGTAAATGATAAAATAATGTTTTATTAATAGGAGGAACCGCGTCTTGGCAAGAAGTTTGAAGGGTTCTGATTTTTCAAAATAATATTTCTTCAAGCTCGTTAGAATAATGTTACAACTTTGTAGAATGTGATTTATGGAGAAGTAAAGGCGTCGTTATGAAGTTCGTTTAAATGAGTTATTTACTAAAGATATACACATGTATGAATGGTAAAAACTATTCTTGACTCAAGTACTACATAATTACACACATGTACCTAGTACCTACTTGTAGACAATTTAAATTAAAGCCTTGCGATTAATGTATGTTACAGGTTTTTAAACTGTACTAATCAATATTATCGTTAAAAATTTATATTATAATATGGTCAATGTTATTAAATAATAGCTGTTTAATCATCTTACTATCAATTAATTATATCTTTCATTTATTATTTAACCTTTTTAATTGAGAAATTCCAAAAATTAATATGTACCTTGTAATCTAAGGACTTGTAACTTCTTGACCTTGTAATGAAAATGAATGGAAAGTGAACTGCACTTAGAGAATTATTAAATACAGTAGGCCTAATATATTTAAATAAAATCAAATTGATCTTTCCAAAAGCTATATGAAAGCCAAAAAGTTGATTTGATTTTGTACCCAAATTATAAGGTAATTACATGTCTTGAAGAAACTACCGCAAATCTAATACAAAGCCTACGTAAGTAAGGCTTTCGTTTTAAATTAAAATCGATATTTTATGATGAATAACTAAATTTAATGTTTTTTTTTTAAATGGTTTAAATGGATAAACTAGAAGCAACAATATAAATCAGTGAAGCATTATAATATATAATTAATATTGAAGAATTGATAAAAAAGCAAATGAAAATAAGTCATCAACAAAAAAAGTGTTCATCCAAATAATACTGTAAATAAAATTTAATAAATATAATAACAACAATAATATTTAAAAAATGTGATGAGTCTGATTAAAAATTATTGTTAAAAATGATTAAAATTTATTTTTAAAGTGATTATTGGGAATTTTTCTCTTCAAGTAGTGCAGGAATTAATATTCGTTATTGAACCTTAAATTATGAAAGCATTTGCAGAAACTTCTTGGAAAACAAGTTGGATTTGAACTCTATAATTATAATTTTATGCATACAATAGATTTTCTGAGAAATGGAAATAATATTTCAAAACTATTTCTAGGCGTTATTCTATAAATTATTATCAATTATACTTTATTTTAATGTCGAGCAAACTCACTTAATTATGAACTTAATTATGAACATATAGTCAAGTTTTAGTTAGAGAAATGGAGAAAATACTTATTAAAGAAACTTTTAATGAATTGAAGGAATATGTACTGTACAATTTTGTATTAATATTTTTTTAAATAATCTCAAATGATAAAGTTACTCACGGTCATAATCTGTTCTTGCGGCCTGAATGCTTTCTGCGCTATAGAGTGCGAATAAGACAGTCGTCATGTAGGTCACAAGATGCATCTTGTCAAATATTATCTGCAAAAATAATTTAATATTATATTAAAAACATTTATACAATTCAAAAATTTTTTAAAACTCTTTATAATTAATATAGAAACTAAAATTTGTCAAACAAATTCAGAATATTTAACATTGTTTCCTCTAACTATATATCATCAGCCATCGTTAGTAGAATTTCATTCAAACAAAACAGAGAAGATCAATCACTGCGTTCATGGTAAAAAATTTATGATAGAAATTTTTATTGTATTGTATGACATTTATGAAAATGGTCAGTAGAAAGAGAATTATAAAAAAAAAAAAAATATATATCTTTTGATTAGTGTACGTGATGTTGGCAAGAAAAGGTTTCAATAAACAATACAATAAAATATCTCGAAAATTAATATTTCAAAGCAAAAGCTTGTTTTGCTATTTGAACAAATTGAAATGTATAAAAGTTTTCTACAAAATATTGATTATGTTTTTACTAATTTCAACAATTTCTTTGTGCCACTCCCGCCTAATCTTTATGAACTAGGTGAGAGTGGCACTTTGCTCCAAGAAAATTGCAAAACCCTCCCGATATGTGTAAGCAATCGACATATTTAATAAAAAATAATATTTAGCAACTTTTTGAATTGTAACAATTTTTTTTTTGATATTTTGACACTGCCCATTGCACCAAACATTGGCGATTTTTATATTAGATTTTATAATATTTTTAAATGACAGGTAATGCCAATAACTCTATCATCTATCAAAATTGTCAAAAAAATTGGGCTGATGCCTCAAACCCTGCGGTTTCCAAACTCTGGGAATCACCATCTAGGTACAAAGATGCTTCAAGACTTTTTAAACTAAACCAATAATGTTGAAATGATATAAAAAAATAATGATTAATTAAATAATTATTTATTTTGTACTCTGATATCAAATTATAATATCAGTTGAGTATTCAATTAAGCGAGGAATCTCTTATTCGAAGATTGAAAAAAAAATGGCCATACGATCTTAAATAAAATAAAAAAATAAAAAAGAGGAGATAATCTCATGCATTTACACCCAGCATATTGTCTTAAAAAATATATATTATTTTGATCGGCAATAAATCTATGTAAATAAAAATAAAAAAAGTTGAGTATTTGTGAATTTAAGTTGTTAAAAAAATTACAGAGAGCGCAACAAATATTTTTAAGAATGAAGATAGGCGGTACTAAAAGGTTTGAAACCACTGCTATGAATATAGGAAAAGCATAAAATAAACAAATTGATTTTCTGTAATCAATATAGACTTTTGTTTAGAAAGCTGTAAATAGCTGAAATAAATTAGTTTACAATAGTGTCATATATAGAGTCATATGAATTTAAGATATTAAAATGGTTTAAGGCTTTTGAAACGTCACATATAAAATTATTATATGCATGTTTGTCAGTCTTTCTATCTATTACAATCTTCCGTCTACAAGACTAATAAATATAGAATTCCAACTATATGGCCGAATTCATATGAAATGCATTTTTATTAAACGTGAAGTTTTATATAAAGTCTGCTCATGGTTTTACGGTATCCATCCCATTGTGTTTATATTTCGAATAAAATTTATTCTCTATGAAATATTATTTCCGATGACACAAAGCGATGATAAACTCAAAATATTAAATTGGCGTTTGATACGTGGGTTGATATGTACACAAAATTCGGAAAATTACAAAAGAATAATTTGTGATTGGCGAAGCGATTAATAACAGATTGAACTGTAGTGCCACTCTCAAGTGCAGTGGGGCAAAACTAATTAGGTCGCGTTTATCAGTGGCGGTGAATTTGTTTCATAAATACAATATGTGTGCAAGTGACGTATTACTGCACTGATTATTATAAGATTAATTTAATTAATTGATGGCATTTAGATGTTAATAATAAAAAGTTACGCCGTTGTATCGATCTTATCAATTATACAGGGATCCTCGCATTGATAATAAACCTTCCAAATTTTCCATAGCGTCAAGAACTTTAAAATGGTTAAAGTCGTCATCAGCAATAATTTAATAAATCAGTTTACAAAAAAGCAACCACTGTGCTTGAATTGTTTGTAATAATTTTGTAAAGTACCTATAATGAATAATATTTCTTTCCATTTCATAATTTTTTTAATTACTGAGAAAAATTTACTTGAGCTCTGCGAAGGCTCAGGTTGAATGGCTTTATCAAACACGAACTTTAGGCCTGACCAAAGTTGACCATTAATTTGCGAGAAAACGAACAAATTCAAATTGCTGGACTAGTTTTAAAAATTGTAAAGGCATTGTATACCGTCATCAAATCACTGGTGAATAGAAGACAAACACTTCCCAAATTGCTGCAAAATCACAATTTTTGTCGTATTTTTAGCTAATTACTTTCCGTAAGTTTATGGTAATCGCAAAAAAATCGAAAATTAAAATTTTTGCATATTTTTATGTTTCAAAGGCCCTGAAGTTTGTCTTTATCAAACACAAATTTCAGGGCTGATCAAAGTTAACCCTTAATTTGCGAGGAAATGAACAATTGCCGGATAGATCATTTTAAAAATTGTAGAGGCATTGTACACCGTCAATAAATTACTGGAAAATGAAAGTCAAACACTTCCCAAACTGCTACAAAATCCCAATTTTTGTCATATTTTTAGCTATTAACTTCCCGTAGGGTAAGTTATAGTAATCGCAAAAAAATCGAAAATGAAAATTTTTGCATTTATGTTTCAAAGGTTTCTAAAAATTTTGGCATACCTCAGAAAAAATGGATGTATTTGTGTGTGCGTGTGTGTGTGTGTGTGATATATATGTATGTTTGGATACAGTTTTTCGTCCACGATTTCGGGAGCACAAATCAACCGATTTGAATGATTAAAAAAACATTCGATTCCTATTGATATGAAGACGTGCTGATTAGTTTTTGGCGTATACAATGGTTTAGTTGTTTCGGAGAAATGGGGCAAAAGTGCCAAAAGCGATTGTAAATCAATGATCAATTTTTATTGATTACTGATTTTTTCTTCGAATATATATATAATTATATATAGATTAAATATAAGATATAATTCTGCCACGGAAAGTTCAAGCAATTTGCCTTAAGGCACGATGCCATACACCATAGTTTTTTTTTAATTGATGCAATTTAAATTCAATGTTCTCAAGGAAGATACTTGTTATAATAATAGTGCAAGTGAATACTAACTCGTGCCACTGCAAAAGTTTGACTATATTAAAAATCTTGTAATAGCTAATGCATCAAAATTTTTCTGTTAAACTAAAATAACTAATTATTTTACATAAGATACTTATATTCAACACTACGTCTTAAATGTAAATCACATATGTTATAATTCCTAAAATAATAGATAATAATAAGTAGTAGGAACTACCTTATTTTTCAAATTTGGTATAATACGCCATCACGCGTAAGACACCTTTTTAGCCCGATGCTAGAAAATAATCTTAACAGGATTTTATTGGAAATATACATTAAGCTTAACTTTTCCACTTTCGGATATTCAGCTTCACTCTCTCTCGGACAGGATGGCAATAAATAAAAAGAATACTTTTAATAAATAATGTTTAATCAAAACCTTCCAGTCTTTCCTTATGATACATGCAATTGGCCTATTCTACATTCCCGTAGGTAGAAGGTAGAATTTCCAGGTAAATCCACTGGTCACGACATAAAATTTTACATCAAAACGTCTTGAATAATAAAGATGTTTTATATTCCGCACAATCATATTTTTTTCTTAATGTTATGCCCTCTAAGAGTTCATATATAACTTATTAGAATTAACTTATGAAAAAAATGAACAAAATTCTGTGCATTTTTAAATTATTTATTTTTCTCTTTTTTATTTTATTCCCTTTCTGTACAGTCACTATTATCATATTTTATTACAGTACAAATTTTAATTAAATTTGAATTATTGATATTTTATATCATACAATAATATAATCTGTATTATAAAAATCGCTATTGTATTTGAAAGCTATGACTATTTTTGTATAATAGAATGCGCCTGTATCATTTTTAATACCATAGCCCCATTTACATATAAAAATGTTAATTTTATTTTTAAAATATGACTGTCGCGAGCATAAAATTTTAAATAATGAATAACATATATAATTGCAGGTGCATAGACATATTTATTGAAAATGTCGAGTCGCTTTTAATGTATGTGTATTTATGGCAGCTTTCATACGATTTAATCTGAAAGCGTGTGGATCTATTTTTTGCATTTTTTGTAAATATATAATTTGGATAGTAGGTGTATCGTTAATGCGACAGGTGTTCAGAATTCACTAAATCGTTAGATAGAGAAATAACTATCTATATAATGATTTGGTAGAGCCTTATTTAAAAATAGCGAGCTAAAGGTAAAAACGTTATTCAGTATAGCGTGTAGGTAGATAAGGGTAATAAGGGTCAAGGGGGTTACATACTTCTAAATAATCGCTAAAATCACTTCAATAAATTTACGAATTCTTCATTTTCTGGAAATAAATATTATTTAATCATTTTACTGTTATTTAAATCAATTTTAAAATGAGGAATATTAATGATAAAGAGAATAAAATTCAAGATCGAAAACATAAAACCAAAATCTGTATTTTTATATAATTTGAAATAGTATTGAAAATTTTAAATATTGAAACATATCTTCAAGCACTGTAGAAGATAGCAAATATAATGCCAAAAGTAATTAAATTTATGTATTAGATGTTCATATTAATTGAATTATACATACATAGATACGTTTTGATTCTAAGTTAATTATCAATATATTTTACTATTAGTTTATTTGTGAAATTACAGTATTAGAATATTAATATTAATATTCTAAATCAAAAAAATATGTTTTATTATAATAGAAGGTAATACATATAACGCACTATTTGTAAATAAATGTTATTCCTTTTTAAGACCATCGTTAAAATTCTATCTCGTGTTTCATGTCCCATTATCTATTCATTTTACAATTGTTACTCTATTACCAAAATTACTCACT